TGCAATCTGTTGAGCCAAAACTCTGTTCAGTTGTTTCTTTGCCGTGTTTCCTGAACTGTACGATGATTCTGTTGACTGTCGAAGGCGAGATTCCCAAATTCTGCGAAATTTGCCGCTAACTTATTCCACCATCTGCTTGACCAACTATCCTTCCTCTAACAAAATCTGACAATTCGAGAGAACCTTGAGTTCTAGGCTTGTTTCAGCACAAGATAATTAGTGTGCCGAACAATTTCATGTATATAGTGCTCTGTGAACACAAATTAGGTGTCTATTTACTTGTGACCACTCAGTGTACCTTACAGTTATAGAGTTTCCTGGATCTTCGATTTAAAATTCGACAATTTATATGCAATTATATACAAAAGTGCATTATATTATTCATGTTCGTTTGTTGTGTTTATGACAGCTCTACTAAGACTATCTACCGTTATACCTAAATTTCAGTTGCTGACCAGAGGGAAGGCAAACAATTGGCAGAGCCCCCTGCCAACGACTACTTTTTAACCAACGAATAGTGCAACTGATAGTCACACTATTCACGCCCCATAGCTGAAAGAGCAAGTATGTTCGGTGCCGAGTTGCGATTCTGCAGCCCGCAAATTGGGAGTCGAGTGCCCTAACCACCAGGCCATGCCAGGCCTATATAATTTTCACTTTCTTTTTTTTTTAATTTTAAGAGTTGTTTTTAAACTTGAAATGTATTATTAGGTTCTGCAGAAACCGTTATGGAATTGTTTACTTACACTCCTGAGGGCGTTTCATCAGTGTTGTGCGATTGCAAGTATTATATCAAGCTTGCGAGATTGTAGGTACCTACAGCACTGTGATGCACGTGTTTCATCAAGCACATTTCTATGCGATATGCTGTAAAGTAATTTTAAAGAAGTTTGACTGGCTTAAATAGCTTTGTAATTGCAAAACTAACAACATTTTGTTAAATGTCCTTTTACTTTGCAAAAAATAAAAACACAACAATGAAATAAAAGGAAAACAACTATTTTCCTGGTGTGTTGCGGGTATTACATATTACACCTTTCCTTTATATCAAAATTATGATATTTAAATGAACTTACAGGGATTTGTTAATGAAAAACAACTTATCCAACCTTTATTTATATCAAATACGAATTCTTTATTTAATTATATCGTTGAAGAGATGTAAATAATTATAAATAAAGAAAAATATGCACATAAATAATTCTTAAGTTAATTAAGATAGTGACATGTTATAATAAAATCATGCACAGAAGAATGGGGTAAAACAAAAGTAAGTTATCCACTGTATCCCAAGAGCTATCCATCACTTATTTCACCACTTGCAAGTCGTTCAACAATGTCATGGTTCACCCAGATAAAGCTGTCGTCTGAGTTGCCAGGGTGCCGAATAACAGCATGCAGCATATGCCTAATGGCAGCCGAGATGACCTGCACATTTAAAGATTTAAAAAGTGAAACCTTTTCCTGCTGACGGACAAGTGTTTGTCCTGGGAAGAAGTTTACATTGATATCTGTCAGCCATCTACAGCTCCTATTATTTGCGGTAGGCCGTATAATCATTAAGAGTCGCCCATCACCCTCCTTCTCGTTTCATGTTATGTAGAAAAAACTATGTATTGTGCAACGTGGTCCCACAAAGCACTAAACCACTTTCCAAAGGCATTGCGACACAGCGGCGTTATTTTACCAAGGCAATCACCCAACACTTCTTGAAAACAGCCCCTAGCATAAAACTTCAGTGCTGTCAGTTAGTGCCATATTTCGTCTTGTTTCGTTGTTCAATTGCTGTTCATTGTTTAAAACAAATCGCAGAGATTTGTAATTTAGAATCTAGGAAACCTGGACTTAACTATTAATTCAGTCATTATAAAGATCAAGACGGTTTAATCGATTACTAAACGCCCTCTTCCTTTTAATTTGTGTACTGTATGAAAACTGATGACGAGCAAATATAATTAGCGCCATTTCGAATAATTCTCCCACTATACTCACTCTGCTTTGCGATGAAAAGAAACACTTACATTTGCTTACAACCAGTCGAAACACTTACATTTGCTTACAACCAGTCGAAACACTTACAGTTGCTTACAACCAGTCGAAACACTTACATTTGCTTACAACCAGTCGAAACACTTACAGTTGCTTACAACCAGTCGAAACACTTACAGTTGCTTACAACCAGTCGAAACACTTACATTTGCTTACAACCAGTCGCAGCTTTCGCTAGAATATCTGCGATATCGCAGCTCCTGAAAAATCTGCCATCCTTTCACGAAACATAACAGTTTACTTGAGACTTCACCGCGAGGGCATTCTTCTCAGACCACTCTCATGAAACGTACCCCTGAGTCTCGTCACTCAAGTCACGTGTAAAACAAGTACATTTCTACAACACTATTAATTTTTAGAACGTATCGGTATCATTGGTATGTTGCTAACGTGTTCAAAAGTTGAAAACTTAAATGTTTCCTCTAACAGTTTCAGTATGTCATGTCCTCCCGATGTTTCAGGGGTAACTTTACGGAATTACAACCCTAAAATCTGAGATTCGATTCCGCGCGGTGAAAAGAGCTGTGTCCCTCACGAATATTTAACCTCGATTTTTAGCGTATAAGCCCTCAAAGCTTGCCGCTGAGCCAGTGGAAGGCTGTATTGATAATATAGAACCGATGCACCATTTGGACGGCGGGCTGTACTACTAATACGGGCCTCGTATATCATAATAAAACAAGTTTATCATGCGGTGTTATGTCTTATATATTAATTTATCTTCGACATCCTATGTGAACTATATCCGCAAGTTTTAAAAAATGGGAATTTTGGTTGTTGCTGTTGTTTTTTGTAACCATCAATCGTTTGAAAATGTTTGAACTTTTTTATAGAAAGATGAGTAAAATTGTATTCTTGAATATGATGATTCACGCGTAGGACGCGTGCAAGTGATATGCCACCTCTAATTTCACGGTTGAATTGTCGTGGGCTGCGCACATTGACACTCCTTTTCTTCGAACTGAAGCTAGTTGGTGAAAGGTGTACGAGTGCATTTTTCCGCCCAGCTTTACTTTCGAAGGAGATACGAGAACCAAGACGTAAAACACAGAAGTGACGTAGATCCTTTCTACGAAATGTGTCATTTAATGCGACAATAACATGTATTAATATATAACGCCAAATAAAGCAACCCCCCCCCCTCTCTCTATATATATATATATATTACTATTGACTAATAACATTTGTTTTTCGGCATAATAGTAATTTACGATATTGGCAATATTCCTTAACCCATTGTTAAAAGGTGGCGTCAGCTCAAAGTTTCACTACGAGAACAACTGTTTATCACTGTAAGAATCTAAGACAGTGTAGCAGTTGTTTTTGTTTTTAAATATGACGTAGTAGTTTTTAACAGTAAAGTTGGAATACGCTCAATCGTATAATAAAATAATTTATTTTATCCTCGCTTAACAACAGTTGGCCTACAGCTCTAAGAGACATTTTAGAAATATCGTAACTAAAGCATGGACTCATGCTACCACTAAATTATAGCAAAGTACAAATTTCCTTAATTTTTTTTAAAAATTGGTGGTAGTATTTCTATAATTTGTCTCTGTGTATATATATTTTGGTCTAATCTCCCAGTAATGATCAAGTATGTAAATAAATGTAAAAAAAAAAAAAAATAATAATATTAGGCCTAACGATAAGCCTACAGTGGTTATTAACTTCTACGCTACCGTGTGATGTTACACATTAGCAAGCAGCGTAATGTTTATTACATAATCAAAGAGTAAAATCCCACAGACCGCACACGTAAAGTTCTAAATAATTCTACGTTACAAAATTACATTATTAACAAAAATCTAGAAACATACTACACTAATGGACTTTTATCTCTGTTACTTTACATTTTCTGATGGTTTTATGTGTATATATATGTGTGTGTATTTGAAGAAATAAAAAAGTTTGGTGATTTACCGAATTTTTCAAACAGCTTAGCTTCTTCTTCACTTGTGAATTTTGGGAAATACTTAAAACATGCGCCAAGTTTATCTCTGTGAAAATATAATCAGAGTTTATCCATGTAAGAATATAAAATAGTTCTGTAAAGCATGTCTAGTTTATCAGTCTAAAACATGACCAGTCTGCCTTTGTAAAAAAATAAAATAACAAGAGCTTATATTTATAAAAATAAGTATTACTATGTTTCATTTCTGTAAAAATATACCGTAAGCTATTTCCATAGATAAACTGTAGTTGTGTTTTCGTAAAAAACATGATAGTTTATCTCCGTCATGAAACACTTTTATAATGCAGCTCTGTAAACCACAACTAGAGCTTATCTATGTACCAAATTTATGATAAATACCGTAAGGAAAGCTCACTTTATAGCATGGTGAACTAAACTCAAGGTTTATATTACATCCCTCTTTTCTGCACTTTGAAAATAATTATTTATTAAGAAAAACAGCCTCGTAGTCTACACGTGGTATTGGCCTTTCAACCTTCACAGTTCGCATATTCTTCATCTTTCAGTTACTGATGTGGCGAGAGTCTGAGGAATCGTGTACCATTATATATATGTTTAAATTAAGACTCCGGCTATCGGAGTTACACACAGATTGCTATCAAAATTATAAATATCATTATAATAATAAAGATCACTGGTTTGTCGTCGTTAAATACGTTTATTTTTATTACTGTCAGCGATCACATTATAACCGTAATTTACAATTAAACAATTTTTCTGATAGTAGATGTCTTAACGACGTGCTTGTTGTGAATTTTTCTTTGTTAAACTATATAAGTAAAAAGGAAACTACGTAATGACCAATGGTCAGACACTATAAACAATACCATCCACTCGTCTCATACAAAAGTTAGATTTACTACTGCTGTTTGTAGAGAAGTAACCGGAAATAAAGGGTGTAATGCGAGTAAACAAAACAAACAAATGAAAAACAGCATTGAGCATGTATAATGTTGTTGTGAATGATCATTCTGAAAATAAAATACTGCCCTTTCGTATAAACACCCGTAATTACTCTTCTTAACATTTAGTTATTTAAAAAAAAAATGTTTTTCCGTTTTCGTTACTTATTATAGAATATAGGAGAAACGTCTTTTAACAACTTAAGTTATCTGAAACTAAATGCAAAGTTTAAATATTAACCTTCTCTTGACAATTACTTTTCAAGTTTAACAAAGATTATATATGTATTTGCTAAGATACTTCTCGTAGCTTTATCACTAAATCAACACACGCATTTTTTCATAGTCAATTACGTCAACTACTAAAACATTTTTATTTACATATACATATAAAAAATATTAGAAAGATAGATTCCTACCTTCTTTATGGCCGTTTTCAACACTAAGGGTGGACACTTGAAACTCTTCTCACTTCAGTAATTC